TAGTTGTAACTGATATACAATACAGCTAATTATAGTTAATGTCATTTCCTTGAGAAACATTAAAAGGATTCAGTGCAATAAAACACACTGATAGATGTAATAGTAGTTCCCAGTCTATATAACAGAGATTATGTCCTAATCTCGAGCTCTTACCAACAAAAAGGAGCCTGGGAACATACTGGCCATCAGGGGACAGATGTTTGTCTGTGGTTTCATACTGTAGGAGAAGCAAAAGAACAGTTTTTTACAGGCACCGTAAACCTACACGCCAGTGCTGAACCTTAAAATGTAATACAGACTGAAAGACTTTAAAATACTTCATTTTGTCAGGTGTTGTAACCTACCACCAGATTAAGGATGACGAAGTCCTCATCGAGGATTTTTTGGACCTCGTTATCCTCGGAGAAGACTTTCTTCAGCGCTGTGGGAGAAAATTGACTTTAAGTTTTATAACTCGGGTGTGTAGAGAACAGCACCGGGATGACCAAGCTGACATCACATATGAACAAACACACACTCAGTCTTCAAACAGAACAAACACAGTGAGGAACTTAATAAGTGAAACAATAGCAGCTGCTCACCCTGGCTGTGTGGGCAGTCTTCAAGGTGAAAGATGACCAACAGGGGCTTGTTCCTAAAATACCAACCAGCCCATCATAAGCTTCAGCAAATTTTAGAGTTAAGCCAAAGTTTGGACTTTTATTTTGAAACTATGCCTTACTTTGACCTGGACCAGTAAAGACCCTCCTCATAAGTCTGAGCCCAGATCAGCTGATCGCCCCATCCTACACAGACAAAGACACCATTAGAGATAAGTGCGTCCTTTACCTCATACTGGGCTTAATGCGTGAATGAAACGACTCAAATACCTCTGGACAGAGTCTGTGGGACCCTCTTCCCACTCTTGGGGATATATTTTGCAGCAAAGGTAGAGGAAATGGCTACCAGGACCAAGAGCACAGACAGCGCTGATTTAACCATCTTTAGAGATTTCCTGAAACAGCAAACACAAACCAGCTACAAAATATTTCCTCTAAGAAATGCAAACCAGTTTTAGACTTGAAGCATCAGCTGTTTTGCTAAAGGAACTGCATTCACACGTCGATCAGCACATGAGCTGTTAAAACCTGCAGTAACAGGAAGCAAAACTAAAGAGACACTATTATAGAGACTATTTTAACAGAAATCCAGATACTTTGGTGCTTTTTCGTTTCCTGTAATGAACATTCCTCAGTAAAGTTTTAGCTATGACGTGCAATTATTTCACATAGTAGAGTATTCACACACAGAAAGGTACAAAGTTCTTTAGCTTACCTGTTCCCGAATAGTCAGGTAGAGAATGTGGGCAGATCGTGGACTTGCACTGACTCTAGCTTCACCTGTCCTGTATTTAAGTATCTGTTGGCTGAGAGCCCACCTTCTTCCCTCCCCCACTTCTCTGTGCAGGAATGCCAGAGTGACGCAAAAGTTTGTTTGCCAACCAACTTCATAGTGAAAGTGGATCATTTGCATTTTCCGTGTGTATGAACAAAGACATCCTGTTGTAAGATCATGATTTAAACATTTTATGTTGGGACTCAACACACCTTTGTCAACCAGAAGAGAACTTGATGGAGCAGCACCTTTTTAAA